AGTGGGAGAGTTCTTCATCTGATACACTCACCACTCACTGGTGATCCCTGAGTTGCTGCAGCCACTGCTTCCCTGAGTGGTGGAGGTGAGGGGAAGAAGGATGGCAAGGAAGAGCAGGAGAGGCCCAGCAGGGAGAGGAGAAGCGAGCAGATGAGATGCTGAGGATGAGAACGAGCACTGACATGCCAGAAGCGGCTGGTGATTAAATGTCTCGTAACAAAGGAGAGGAGAGGGTAGGAAAGGAGAAGATTGATAGCTGAGCAGAGTGGCATGAACATCTGGCAATACAGCATCAAATACACAAGGGAACCGTGGGAAAATGGAAGACAAGACAGAAAGGCACAGGAGAAAGCAGGAAAAGGTGAATGAAGTGAAATACAACTTAATATGACCCACTCACCACTTGTTGACTGCTCGCCATCATCCTGCACTTGCTGCAGCCACTGGTGATCCCTGAGTCACTGCAGCCAGTGCCCCATTGAGTGCTGAAAGAGAGGGGAGGAAGGATGGCAAGGAAAAGGAGGAGAGGCGTGGGAAGAGGAGGAGAGGAGAGGCCTGAGTCGCTCACGCCTTCGCCCCAAGCAGCGCCCGCTGCGCCCCGTGCTCCAGGCTCCAGGCTCCAGGCGTGCTGCTCCAGGTTGCTCGTCTCGCCGTCTGCTGTTGATACCTGCAATAGGAAGGGCGTGTGGCTTGTGAGCTCGGCCAAAAGCAACGGGTGGCGAGAAGAGAATTCAGAGGAGAAAGCAGAGGAGCACCTGAAATGCAAGCGATGCGCGCTTGGTTGGCATCACACAAGGGAAAGCGTTCCTTCGGAGGAGAAAATACTTCGCTGGAAAGTCAAGGCGCTGTTGCTACAGCTGCTACAAGTGACCAGTGCTGCTGCTGTGCCTCGGTCGGGCAGAGACGAAGCCCCCAAACTTGGCAACCCCCGTCCACTCCGTGCCATTCCCCTCCGCCTCGCAGCCATGAAGCACTCACAGACACACACACACACACACACACACACACAAACACACACACACACACACACACAAGGAGAGAGGCGCACGCACACAAAGGCAGCGCAACAAGGGAGGGTTAGAAGCAGCACGAGAGGAGGCGAGTGTCGGAGGCAAGGGCAGGAGACACGACTCTTGCCTCTGCGCAGCGACGCCCTACGACTAACTTCACCCCCCCCTGCAAGCATCCCCGGGCATGTACCATGATCCTTCACTTGAGGTGTGCTGCTCCGGGTTGTCTCTAGTGCGAGCTAGCACGACAGCTCGTGCATTCCCCGTCCGTCTCTCAGGCCGTGAGGCACGCACACACACATGCATGGGGCGAGGGGCAGCCACACAGAAACGATGCAACAAGGGAGGGAGGGTTAGAAGCAGCAAGAGGCGAGAGCTGCAGGCAAGACAATCAGACAGGACTGTTGCGTCTGCGCGGCGACACCCTAAGACTCATTTCACTGCCCCCCTGCAAGCACACCCTGGCACGCACCATGCTCCGTCAGCCGCTGTGCTGCTCCTCGCCACGCCTTCACTTGAAGCGTGCTGCGCGGTTGTTGCTACGCCACGCCTTCGCCCCAAGCAACGGCCTGGCGCTGCTCGTGCTCCAGGTGGCTCATTGCTTGCTGCTGTTGCTGTTGCTGCTGCTGCTGTTGCAGTCGTTGCTCTCGTTGCCACCACCACCGCATCGCGCGCGAAACGCACTGACGCTCCAGAAACGCACTGACGCTGCACACTGATGCACCACATCACATCATCACACGGCCACTCACTCACGCGCAGGCTTGGAGGCCATGAGGCACGCACTTGCAGACACACGCATGCATGCCGTCGCAGAAACAGAGACACGGAGAAATGGTTGGTTAGTTGCAGAATGGGAGTGGCGACTAACGGCAAGAGGAGACACGACTCTTGCCTCTGCGCGGCGACGTCCTACGACTCACTTCACCCCCCCCTGCAAGCACCCCCTGGCACGTTCCATGCTCCGCCTGCCGATCTGCCGCTCCTGCGCCACTCCAGGCGTGCTGCTCCTGGTTGCTCGGTTGCTGCTGCTGCTGCAGTCGTTGCTCTCGTCGCGACCGCCGCCGTGTTGCTGCCGTTGACGCGCCAATGCTCCATTGATGCTTCTTCCCCTCGCTCAACGCTTGTCGAGCGTGCGACCCAGCAACGGAAGCCCCGTCCGCTCCGCGCCAGTCCGCGTCCGCTGCGCGCCAGTCCGCGTCCACTCCGCGCCAGTCCGCGTCCACTCCGCGCCAGTCCGCGTCCACTCCGCGCCAGTCCGCATTCCCCTCCGCCTCGCAGGCCGTGAGCCACACAAAAGAATGGGGAGAGAAAACACGCACACAAGAAGCGGCGCAAAAGGAAGGGTTAGATCAGCAGGAGAGGAGGGGAGTGGTGGAGGCAAGGGCAAGAGACTCGACTCTTGCCTCTGCGCGGCGACTCACTATACTTCCCCCCTGCAAGCACCCCCTGGCACGTACCGTGATCCGTTTGCCGCTCTGCCGCTCCTGCGCTACGCTTTCACTTGAGGCGTGCCGCTCCTGGTTGCTCGGTTGCTGCTGTGCCACGGTTCCGCTTCTCCTCGCTCGGTCGGTCGTCTCTCGTGCGAGCCAGCAACGGAAGCCCGCCCATTCTCCGTCCACTCGCTGCCATTCCCCTCCGTCTCGCAGGCCGTGAGGCACACACACGCATGGGGAGAGAAACAGCCACACAGAAACGACAAGGGAGGATTAGAAACAGCAAGAGGCGAGTGTTGGAGGCAAGGTCAAGAGGCATGACTGTTGCCTCTGCGCGGCGACGCTCTAGGACTCACGACACTTCCCCCCTGCAAGCATCCCTGAGCACGTACCATGTGCATGTCGCCGGCCTGTCGCTCCTGCGTCACGCTTCCACCCGAGGCGTCACGCCTGGCTGCTCGATCGTTGCTCTCGTCGTGACCACCGTTGCCTCCGACGGTCGTTGCTCCAGGTTGCTCGCTTGCTGTAAGCCACGCCATCGGCCCAAGCAGCATCCTGCTGATTCCCGTTTATCAGTCGCTGATGCTGCTGCTGGTGGTGTAGTCATTGCTCTCGCCTCGAAGTTGTCTCTGCGTCGTTGCGTTTTAGAGATGAAGCGGCACGGACGTCGCTTTGTCCGCGGTAATACGGGAGCAGAAACGTTGCACTGACGACGAAACGAGCAGCGCCGTCGCTTTGACGGCGAAATATTTTTTGGACGCCCGAAACCGCAGTTGGAATTGTTTTGACGGCAGGAACAACAGCGACGTCGCTTTGTCGGCTTCGACGGCTACTGCAGCGACGACGTCGCTTTGATGACGTAAACAGCAGCGACGCTGCATTGACGACGAAACAGCATGCTGAACCGTGGGTGAAAGCAGCGGTGCGTTGCATGGCGGGGTGAGGTTGACCGCTTGCTATACCCGGTCTTAGCGGGAACGCGGTCCTGTTATCCGTCTAAGCCTGAACGCCGTCCTGGTTTCCGCCTGCACAGAAACGCCGTCATGTTTTTCGTCTAAACTGGAACGCCGTCATGTTATTCGTCTAAACTGGAACGCCGTCCTGCTATCTATCTCCACTTGAGCGCCGTCATGCTATCCGTTTAGACTCTTTCTGCTATCCGTCTCCACTGGAACGGCGTCAAATTAACATCTCAACGTCGTATCCGCCGTAACTTCAATTCAGATCCATCGTAACTCACTTATGATAGCTCCATAACTTGGAATCCCAGGCCGCCACGACACAACAACGTCCTAGCTAGATTTGGCTTAGGATGACATAATATGGTTTCGCGGCTAGTAAATATGGCTAAGCTTACATTATTGCAGGTATCCAGTGAACTACGGGCTAGTGCGACCAGCAGCTCGCATAGCTGGACGTGAAGTCAGAACGGAGATAAGAAATTGGCAGGTCTGAAAAGTAGTGCAGGTGGAAGCAAGGAGGCGATGAATGGAGGTGAGTCGGGAGAAACATCTGGTTGATGCCGCGGAAGAGAATCCAAGGGAACTGCCTTATCTCTCGCGATCACCCCAGGAGAAACCGAGCGAACGCTCTCTGCCAAGGCGGCTGAAATTGCCAACTTCCATTCCATAGTACGAATGGCATGGCGCATCATGTGAGCGAGCAAGAGGCTCAAAGCGGTGAGGTTCGGATGATCAGGGAGAAGCGGGGTTTGGTTGGCCGAGGCTCCAGACAAGTTCAGTCAGGACCGACATTTGAAATATTTGGAGGGAAAATGAAAGCGCGGTGCGAAATCATTCGTGGTCTGGAAAAAAAGATGTTGTGATAAATAGTGCACTCTAGGTACATATTGCTCTGTCCATTGAACATCAATATGTATTAAACAAACCGTTAACAAAAGCTCCAGCACATCAGAAACACTTCCAAACAATTTGCACTAATGTTGTTATCTGCAAACGCCAAGCATCTCCTGGGGTTGTGTCTTGAGGGCAAAGTGTAGTGGCGAGCAGCACTTGGTGTTTGCAGATGTCATGGGTTGCTGTGTGAATCTTTGCCAAAATTATACTTCAGTTGTGCAGTGTTCATGTCGTAGCTGAAGCAGGCCAGTGGAGTAAACCATACTTGCTCACTAACCATACATCCAATAATCAATGGACATTTGCACTCCAACAAAACCGAAACTCCTGCCTGGCATTACCCGCACCATCCCACTGTGTCTCTACGCGCCTGTTGCAGGGGCTTAGGCAGCCCCCTGGTGATTTAGGCAGCTCAGGCAGATCAGGCACTTCAATTCAAACCCGTTCAGGCAGATCAGGCACTTCAATTTAAACCCGTTCAGGCAGATCAGGCACTTCAATTCAAACCCGTTCAGGCAGATCAGGCACTTCAATTCAAACCCGTTCAGGCAGATCAGGCACTTCAATTCAAACCCGTTCAGGCAGATCAGGCACTTCAATTCAATCCCGTTCAGGCAGATCAGGCACTTCAATTCAAAACCGTTCAGGCAGATCAGGCACTTCAATCCAATCCCGTTCATTCATCTGAGCTGAGCGGTTTAAGCGGGGACCTTGGAGGGGATCTTCTCCTTGGCCTTGTGCAGCTGGAGCACCTTCTTCACCATCTTCCACTCGTCTGCCCAGAACGCACGCATGATTCTGTGGTGGCCATGTGTAGAGGAACAATGCAAAGAGACAAGGTAAGGGTAGGGTAGGATAGAATCAGAAAACACTGGTTGACCATCTTCTGCTCCTCTGCCCGGAACGCACGGATGATTCTGTGGACGGGGAGCAGAGCAGAGCAGCGAGGGAGAAGGAGGGAGGGGGGGGGACTTGCGGGGGAAAACGGGGAAACGAGGGCTGAACGAAGGAGGGGCATGTGGGGAGATGGGGGGTGAGCTGATGGGGGTTGGGAGGAGGAGAGGGGCATGGATGGGGAATGAGGGGTGAATGGATGGGAGGAATCGAGGGGAGGATGGCGGGGGAAAACGCAAGGTGGATGGAGGGGGGATGAAGGGCGAATGAGCGAGGAGGCATGGATCGCAGTGAGATGAGGGGAGAGGGGAAAAATGGGGGGAGAGCGGGGAGATGAGGGGAGAGGGGGGGGATGAGTGGAGAGCGGGGAGATAAGGGGAGAACGAAGGAGGGGGGGGGGGGGGGGGGGGGGGGGGGGAGGGGGTGAGCAGAAAACGGGGGAATGGGGGACGAGCTAGAAGAGGAAGGAGCGTGGGGAGGGATGGGGGGAAGGCGCGGGGAGGGGAAGGGGGAAAGACGGGGAGGGAGAGAAAGCACAGGAACGAGGGAAACACGGGGAAGGGGAGAAAGCACGGGAAAGGGGGAATCACGGGGAAGGGGAGAAAGCACGGAAAAGGGGAATCACGGGGAAGGGGGAAACACGGGGAAGGGGGAACCACGGGGATGGGAAGAAAGCACGGGGAACAGGAGCACGGGGAACGGGAGAGAAAGCACGGGGAAGGGGGAAGCACGGGGAAGGGAAGAAGACGCGGGGAAGGAAAAGAAACACGGAGAAGTGGGAAACACGGGGAAGGAGAGAAAGCACGGGGAAGGAGAGAAAGCACGGGGAAGGAGAGAAAGCACGGGGAAGGAGAGAAAGCACGGGGAAGGAGAGAAAGCACGGGGAAGGAGGAATCACAGGGAAGGGGGAAACACGGGGAAGGGGGAAACACGGGGAAGTGGGAAACACGGGGAAGGGGGAAACACGGGAATGGGGAGAAAGCACGCGGCCGGTCCCCCACATCGCCTCTCACCAGTCTTTTGTCACGCACCGCAAAGGGGGAAGGGGGGAAAATGCGGAAAGGGGCTCCAAGAGGTGCCTCAGAGTAACCGCCCGCTTCCCCAGCGTCGCGTCTCGCTGCGGGAAAAGGGGCCGTTCCGCTACGTCGCTCCTCGCCAGTCCATCATCCTCTCATCCCCCTCCCAACCACCCCTTCTTCCTCTCTACTTCTTCCAGCCTGTGCAAACGCGATCCTCTGAGGGTTCATTACCGTCGCGATCTCGAATCGACGCTGCTCGTGCGTTCGCATGATGGGGATCCGAAAAAAGGCACTACTAATGCATCCGGAGATCAACGCTAGTCTTTCGTCCGCGAAGGACGCTATCTTATCCGCAATACACTAGTACAACAAACGTCAGAACTTACAACTATTGCCAACCGTACCGATATCAGAACCGCGCAACTTACGCCACGTGATTAAGATCCAATGCAGAACCGCGCCACGTTACGCCGCGAACTTGTGATAGTTACGGTACTAGAGGTGCGAAGCACCCCTGCTAACGTGACTGTCATTAACTACGGTCACCACTGACATTAGACTCGCGTACTAACGGAATGAAATGCTAACCTTATTACTGACTAACGCTTACATCTGCCATAATCGACAGCCAATATTGGACGGTAAAAATATGCAACGCGGAACTAATCCCGTCTGACTAGATACGACTGGACGCAATTATGGGAGTTAGGAATGACGGAACGAGGCAAGGAAGATAGAGGATCGTGAGGTAAGGAAGGTATGGTAAGAGGATCGCGAGGTAAACGAATGTGAGGTGTTGTTGATAAGGTTGTGCTGGATGTGCCACGATGGCAGAAACGCCATCTCATTCCTATTCGCTCGCGCAACTCGTTTTTCTTGCAATTTCAGCTGCCCAACTCCGGTTCCCGAGTAGCAAAACTGGTTGCGAGCGCAGCTGAATACTTGCTTGTTCAATCGCGCACAAATTTCTGGACCATCCCAACCAACGCCGTCCCGCACCTCACGCAAGAAATTATAGTTGGGAAAAGGGAATAGTTACTAAATGTCACAGCTCCTAACCGGTTCCAGCCTGCCCTAAGTCCATCCGTGCCAAACGTATTTCATCCATCATCGATACCTGGGTGGATGCCAAAACTCTACAACATATATACGCGCCATCAACTGTTTCGATTGCAACAAACCATACCAATTGAATCTCAACCAAACAGCAAAATGTAAACAGGGTGTGAATCAAAGGTGAACAGTCCAACTTGACAACAATTGTGGGGAGTGTTTCAAACACAGTCAAGCACTTTAGATCTGTGTAGGTATTGGATCCGCTCGTACAGCGTACACCAATTGGGCCGCCACAATGTCTGCTGATCGAATTTCCCTCCTCAAGCATGCTGGACTCTGCCGTCATGGCCGGGGAAGTTACCTGTTGCTCGGCAATTCGCTAAAGCATGACCCCAGCTTCTCCTTCTGGCAGATGATGATTTTACACCTCCTCCATCGCTCCTCTCTCTCTATCCGCTGCTTGTGTCAGACCCAACCCACAAGGATTTTCACTTCCCTCCCATCTCTTCTGCCAGCCGCCTCCCAGCGATTATAGCGGCTCAATTCAGCAGCACGCTTCGGGAAACGGATCGCGGCGGCTGGACGAGCGGAAGCATTATAGTACACGTCACTAGATTCTCGAATCTTGTGTTTCAAACCGTGTTTTTTTCCTGGCCGACGTGTCCCAAATTGAGGACATCAATTTTTGTTGCACATTAGGCGGTCCAATTAGACGCTGGGTACATTTGGCGGTCCAGTCAGAGCGGGGTTCATCTTGTCGGCGATTTTTTCTGAACCATCCACCATTCTCCACGGTGGCACGTTTTGGGTGAAAGAAGCCGTCCTGCTCTAAGTGACGCCACAGAATTAACTTGGCGAGTTAGAGGCAGAGCCTAGGATCAATCCGACGGGCTCGGAGCAAGGAATCCGTAGCAACTTAGATCACTGAAATCGCCCAAGTAACGAGAGAGCAATTGTATATTATGCAAGAGTGGGTACACAAGTCGTCAATGGAATGAACTCTCTGTTTTGCTCTCTGGATTTATAACTAAAACACACATGCAGAAATGTAACATCAAACCGCGCGGACTCGCCATAAATTCGGACTGAGGATCGCGTCCAATTTCCGCGACGTCCGCGTTCACATTTTCGGACTTCGCCGGGTTCGTTTCTTCACGCCGACAATCGTGTGTTACAAGGAACAATAGCGAGTGTAGCGAAATGTTCGTAACATTCGCTTGCACTCTCACTATTTTCGTGCATGCTTGTGGGGCTGCCAAGTGTCGCCCTCACAAAAGTTCGGACCCAACCGAGGGAAGTTCGGTTGCGTGGCGACGCGGACAATCCGCCGTCACCCCAACCTTCCAAGAACGAACTCTCCCTTGGTCCGAGTCAAGGGAGGTCTTCGCGTGGGGGGCAATCCCGTCCCCCACACTTCCAACATTTGGACCACCAAGTGAGCAAGGCGGATTTTCAACGGTTCACCGTTTTTCACCGAGTAGCTCATCCCAACGGTCCGTAGTCAGACATTCCACGCATCCTCAGGCTCACGTCACATTCCGGCTCTTCTTCTTGGAATTTCAGTTTATTTCTGCAGCCACCTAGGCGTTTTGCTAGTGAGCTTGGCTTCCGATCGCTCTACCAGTTCGAATCATCACCATCTTCTACCGTCGACACCGTTCAGCCAGGCCTGGATCGTATGGTCGGCTCGCGGAGCTTCAGAACCTCGACCGTCAGAGTTGCGAGTCAACTTCGCTTGTCGTCGTTTCTTACATCAGGTACAACGACCAACCTTATCACGCTCTCGTACCAGCGACTTGATTTCGTCGTTTCTTGATTTCGACCTTCAGTTTATTTCGACTCCGATTCTGACAATGGTTCTCATTGTTCTATTATGCGCAGGACGCCATGGTAAGCATCAGATCGTCGTGGATCCGCATCTCTTCATCAACCTCTTCGCGACGCTGGCTAAAGCGACACCGATCTCCCCGACTTGTGACGGTGAAGGTTGATTGTATCACCTTCCACCACCCTCACCACAGAGCCTCCTCCCTGGTTAAGGTTTGGTAAAGGTTTGGTACAGGTTCGGTAAAGGTTCTCAGGAGGTATTTGGTTGGTATTGGCTCTGTGGTGGGGCAGCACATGTTTCGTCCACGTTTGCTAAGTTTTCATTTCCTTAGCATCATTTCTTCACTTCCGTCTACTAACATTATTCTTTCTTACACTTGCAGATTTTAATGGAGGCGGCTACGCGTATTTCCGAACATCGCGGGAAAGGGATTGCGAGATTGTTGCCAAAAACTTGCAGAAAGGTTACTTTCTGGATACCTGCTCCCGCAATTTTCTAGTCAAGGTCGAAAGTATCGGGAAATTGGGTTGAGTTTCAGCAACTCTTCCGATACATTTCAGACACATTTTGGATGCAAAGTGGACACCTAAGCACAACCTGACGTATACTTAGTTGTCACTTCAATGTAACCTTTCTGGCATGCCACGTGACACGAGTACGGTTTCTTCTTCAGTGTGTACGTACGTGGGTACGTTCGTATAGATATTTGTGTCACGTACGCATAGATATTTTGCCACATGTCACTATCGATCTGTGAACGTCAGCTAGCCATGTGGACCAATCAGAGACGAGTTGTATGCGTGCAAAACGACATATTATTGGATTACAATTGCGCGTGCAATGCTCTGCGTCGAAATCGGTTCACGAGGTAATAATTTTGATTTATGGTTCTTGTACACAATTGCTTTCAACCATCACTAAAGAAATCGCTTATACTGACAGAAATGGCATATAAATTTGGTGCCTTATATTCTAACACAGTGAAAGATTCAACTACTCCAGTCCACCAAATTACTCTACGACTATAATCGACCTGCGCGACGCGCCTGCACATAGCCTGCAAAAAGAAGACCAACCGTGAGTCTCAGCGAATAATGGCATTCGTATGTGCGATATACAACCACTCAACAATCTCCCTTGACAGCTTCAACCATACGACTGTTGCGTAGATAGTAACGGCGCTATTCAAGGGATACAAAACAAACAACAGATGAACGTTATCGTTTCCCGTTAGAGGTACTCACAAAAAGCGCGAAATGGATACAAGATGTGAGCGGATTGGATACATGAGGTGCTTGAAATGCGTACCTCATACTCTGCGTAATTTTGAAGCGACTTCCCGGGAGCGGCTTCCACGCAAAAGTCCGGCGTCGTGGTGCTGTTAGCGCACACATTCCTTTGCGGCTGGCCGACGGTGGCGCCACATATCAAAACGTCTGGCGGTTCGTCGCGGTTGCGCGGCTAGTAACTGGGAGATTGGGGAGGAAAAAGAAAACCAAACCGTGTAACGAGATGCGTCTGAGCGAATGAGTATAACTACGGGAGAGATAGGCAAATAACAACCCGAGTGGGACACTAAACGAACGCAAAAAATGGAGGCATAGGACACATAATAGATTAACGTAATTGCATGTGCACGGCAGCTGATTGCCTACATGCGCGAAAAGAAGGGCGCGAAATCGTAGGCGCTGGCGATTCGTCCCACACCGCTTTCGTAGCCGCCAGAGCGTCTGGCGCTGAAGCCGGCGTTTCCGCTAAGATTCACGAGCAGTACGTTCTCCTTGTGAAGAAAATGTACCTGTTTAATATGGGCAACAACATGGGAGTTGGCAGGGTCGGAAAAGAATCAGAAGGGGATAGTGTCAAGCTAAGGCGATAGATCTGGACACTTTTCGAGCTGACAAGAAACCTAGCGTGCGAGAAGAGATGATTTAGTAAGCATAACAGGAATGAGGAGAGATAGGTTTCGACTTGGAGACCAAATGAACGAAGTGTGTGGGTTCAACTTCGACTTAGAGGTTAGGTATGCAAAGTGTGTGGATGAGGGAGTTGTTGAGTGCCGACTTTGATTCATGCACACAGCACCAATTGGCAAGAAAGATTACCTAGGTTGGTGAGAGGCCAGGAGTGGACGTGAGGCAGTGACGTGGAACGTTGATGATTTCTTTTGTGTACAAGATCTTATTTGCGAAAAACGCACGAAGGGTATCTTGGTTTCGTACATCGCTACCGTCTTCAAGCCACATGCGAGTCCCTATAAGTGTACGTGTATTGTGGTGTGCCTCGCGATGTGCCTGTTTACGCAACTGTATACGCTGGTGTATTTTACCGAACCACCCAATGTCGAGGTTTCATATTTTTCGATTGTCGAGCCGCGGATTTCCCGCCAAGGCAACACAGATTGTACATTTGCGCTACGTTGCCCTTGGCGTGAATACCAAGTGTGCAAGTGGGGGTAGGTTGCGATTTCACGATCGCAACTTTCTGTATACATCTGTATGCATTTCGGAAGCTTTTCAGCAGAATACCCCATTTCCCGCAACTTAGGGTGAAAACCTTTTCCGCGATGAAGATTTCAGAGGAGCAACGGCCTTCGAAACAACAGAGGAGCATCTCCACGAATGAAGGTTGAAAGTATCAACCTCACACTCCACATTGCACAGAGCCACCCCCTGGTTAAGGTTAGGTACAGGTTGAGGTGTGGTAAAGGTCCCGCTGAAGTTTTTTTCGGTTGGTATTTGGCTCAGCAACACATTTTTTTTTCCACGCTTCTTTTCGTTTTGCATGCTTCTATGCCCGACCTTTACTAATTCAAATTATTTCTGTTTATGCAGGTTCTATTGAGGGTCTTCTACGGTCTTCCAAGGATTTCCGAGGAGCAACACCCTTTGGCGGCCTTCCATGCTTTGCGGACAACAGAGGAGCAACTCCATTAGTGAAGGTTGAACGTATCAGCCCCTCCTTCACACTCGAAAGAGCCACCCCCGGTTGAGGTTAGGTACAGGTTGAGGTGTGGTAAAGGTCCCCCTGAAGGTTTTTCGGTTGGTATTTGGCTCTGTTTTTCCACGCTTTTTTTCGTTTTGCATGCTTTCTTTAGCCCGACCTTTACTAATTCTTGTTTATTTCTTTACTCGCAGGTTCTATTTGAGGGTCCACTGCGTTCTTCAAATGGTGGCCTTCCATGCTTCATGGCGGGCAGCAGAAGAGGACTTCACGGCTGGTGAAGATGAAGGTTGAAGTATCAACCACACACCCTCCACGCTCCTCAGAGCCACCCCCCTTGGTTCAGGTTGAGGTTATGGTAAAGGTCGAGGGTTGTAAAGGTGGTAAAGGTCCCCGTAAGGTATTTTGGTTGGTATTGGCTCTGCAGGCAGCACACACTTGCACCACCGCTCATTTCTGCATGTTTTTTTCACTTCTGTTTACTTAGTTCCCTTGATCTCTTGCAGGTTATATATATTTTTTTAAGGCGGGGTGAACGTACCTGCCAACAGCACCTGGCAGGTGCCTTCTCTTTCTCCACCAGCAGTAAGTTTCACTCATCATTTTAATCACTTGCTGCATGTTGGTAGGTTTTCTTACATTGACTTGGCCTTCTAACTTGGTTTTTTTTTTCTTTGATTGGCAGGTTCCTTCGCCAATGGATTTTCAGCATGCTCAAGAATCAAGATCCATGGAAGCACCATGGCCTTGTTTTCTGAGGCGCCTCAAGGCTCACCTGTGGCAAGATAAGTACCAACTCCAGCCTTTTCCTTTGCTTTCTCGCTCCAATGCCCGTCCACTGCTTACTCCAAGCTTCTTGATTCCTTGTTTTTAGTTTCATATTGTGCTTCAACTCGTCATTGGCTGACTTCTTTTGTTTCGCCTCATGGCAGGTTCTCCAAGCGCCATGTGCACACTATGGACCCCCAAGGCCTTGCGCACCGTGCTACAGTCCAGCAAGGCCAAGATCCCTTGAAGCACCATGGCCTGCTGAGACGCGTCAAGGCTCAATTGTGGCAAGATAAGTTACCAACTCCAGCCTTTTCCTTTATTTTGCAGTAACTATCTTCTGAATCTTTTAATTTCTGATTTGCTTCAATCCATGTTGCATTTTATCTGTTCTTTTCTTTTCGATCCTGTACTAATATGTGTCTTTCTCCACTTCTGTCTGCAGGTGCCTTCATGGTGTCTGTGGATGTGGCGACGTGGCCAGTGCACGAGATGGGGGTGAAGCTTTTGAGCATTGGCTGGGGACTCGATTCCGGGCCAAACCGGACTGGTTCTGTCCCCTCCCACCCCCACCAAGTGACAAAGCTGTCTGGCCAGCAGTGATGTCATTTGGTGGAGGTGGGGGTGGGCAGAGCCAGTCCCTAGTAGGGCACCCGCACGTCTTGGTCCTGGCAATGCTCAAGGCCCACCATCTCTCTCTGCCTGTGCGGTGCATTGCCAGTCCATGCTGGGGTGGGCATAGATGGCATGGCATCCTGTCACTGAAGCCAGTCCACTTTCACTGGCTAGCTTGACTTCCGTAGTCCCCAGAGGACATGTAAACATGTGGTTGATAGGAGTAGATACAATCAACTACAGTTGCTGAGTGTACCTCAGATATTATGAGATTGTAATGCTTTTTTAAGCAGAGCACAGAGTGCCTTGCACTTTGGAAATACTGAACCAGTAGTTACTGATAGGTACGGTATAATGAAGTATGCTGACTGAGGATGGTGAGGTATGGTAAGGTACACCCACCATACAACCAAACCAAGGCAAACTAATCACCCAACAAAGGAAGCAGGCTTGCCTTGTTAGATACAGGTACATACACCACTGCCATTCCATGGCGACCACTTGTTCAGATACGGTATTGATGAAGTCCGTTAGTGATGATGCACTGTCCTGTCCAGTGCTACGGTAGTTTCGGCAGATTTCACACGAGCATAAACTAACTCAGTCTTCATACCACGGTATAATTTACGGTACGGTACTTCCAGCCAAACATATGGCAAGGTTCCTAACCCACAGAGGTAGTTGCATAACACACTCTTAATCTGCACCTGTGCGATAGTTATGATGGTGTGGGGATAGCCCGCAAGAAGATGCGGGAAAGAACAGTGAGGGAAATACTCACTGTCGGTCATGGGAGGACGGCGAGGGGGAGGATGTGGTGCACAGTAGCTTCCATGCTCTTGAACTCTTGTTTCTTGTCAGTCCCTGTCACCACCACTGTATGCATGTGTGGGCCCTGCACTCCCGCCAGGTTGGCTGCCTGGCTGGCTAGATGCTTGGCTAATAGGCTGGTACGCTGGCTGACTGGTACCGTAGGCTGGCTAGCTCGTTGCTTGAAGGCACGAGAGCCGTGGGTGCACACATGAATGGCGGCTTGGCCCGGAGCAAAAAGCTCGCAGAGATACTTGTTCAGTCACAAGTGGAGGAGGATGCAACGATACAGTTTAACTGATATATGGTATTAAGTTGCTTGTTTCCATGCTCTGGTAGCATTGCTACCGGAGGTTACTGCTCTTGTTGCAGCAGCAGCATTGCGAGAACAAGTGTGTGTATATACCCCTGACCATTCCTGTACTGCACGAAATGTGAGCTGCACTACCCTTGGTTCTCATTAGCTACTTGCTGCTGCTGCTGCTGCGGCGGCGGCGGCGGCTACTGCTGCTCCAGCAATGCTACTGGCGCTCGCACCTGGTGCTGGCATCCTCCTCCCCCTCCTGCCCCTCGCTCTCGCCGCTCCGCTGTGTGCGCACGTGCTGCAGCTGCTGCCAGCGCTGTGAGCACGCGTGGAGCGGCACGAAGCGCGCGATGGGCAGCAGGCGGTACGCCAGCAGAAGGTCGTTGTCTGCATTGTGCACCGGCAGGGTGTACCTGGGGAAGGGCAGGGCGTCACACAGGTGGGTCGGAGCGAGGCGGGGATGTCACTCAACACACGGCCTTTCTGCCAACGGGATGGGCTGGAGAGGCTGGATGTGCGGCTGTGAAGAGACTGGCATGGGCGAGTGCATGCATGGACGGGGAAGCTGTCCTGAAGGAAGGAACGACCCCGTCACCTGCGGTTTGGCAGTGACATGCGATGTGAGAGATACAGTGCTAGGGGATGCAACGTGATGGGAGGAGAGGGAGCGGGCGAGGGAGCGTACTTGACAAAGGTGTGCTGCAGGCTGGCCGGTCCTCGCATGGGCGACTCACTGCACCTGCTGCAGCGCCTCGTGCCTGCACCACACGAGTGACATGAAGCGCAAAGAGAGGAGGAGCAGGAGATGGGGAGGGATGAAGGGGCCTGTTGGAGGGGAGTCAGGGGAGCATGAGTTTATGCGTGACAGGCCGGGCACGTGGCAGCGGGCAGTGTGAGAAGGACAAGAGCGGTGATGCGCATGCATGCAGTGGGCTGGGGAGAGCACACACCGTTGGTGCGCACTAGTGGCGGGGGGAAGGCGGGGCAGTGGTGGTCCACCAACGCCTGCTCCATGCCCGGGGGGTGCTGTTGCGCTCACATGGGCCATGGGCGAGGGCGCGGGGAATGAGAAAGGAAGAACATCACATGGGGAGGGAAGGGCAGATGTGGGCGTGGAGCGGAAGAAGGAGGTTGGGATGAAGTGCAAGGGGATGAAGTGCAAGGGGATGAAGTGCAAGGGGTGCAAGGGGAGGAACTGGGCACCTTGAGCACGTGGTAGTAGGAGGTGAGGCGGATGGCGCGGTAGAGGATGCGGAAGAACTTGTGCTCCTGGATCTGAGGCCCGCATGGCATGGCATGGCATGGCATGGCATGGCATGGCATGGCATGGCATGGCATGGCATGGCATGGCGCACATGGGAGGGCAGTGAGCACGCAAGTGGAGGGCGGAGGAGCCTCTGGCACATGCACATGGAAAGCATGCACGCATGAGGTGAACAGATGGACTACACCAGCTGGTACACTGCAGCCGGCACTCATGCAACTGCAACGGCACGGGCATCATGGAGCATGCGTGCGCGGCACAGGCCGAGTGCAAGCACACGCACCCCCGGTCGGCGCGCCATGGAGTTGTAGACGACTGGCAGCGGCACCAGGCTCACCTCGCCCCCCATGTCGCCCACTTGCTGCCTCTCACACAATTGCATCCACAAACACACGGACACGCACATAGCAGCAGCGGCCAGGGTAGGGCAGGAAAGCAGGGAGGGAGAGATGGAGGGGAGTGATGAGAAGGCAGGGAGGGATTGGTGGACTGTAAGTGGCACGGTGATGAGAGGGGTCACACAGTGTGATGCAGAGTGGGGTGGTGAGATGGGCGGAGCACACACCGCACATTGCCATGCTGAAACTGCCTACGAGCACGAGGCACAGGCGAGCCCCCCCAGGGGTGGGCGCATAATGTGCTGGGCGTTCACTGTCTCCTGGGCAAGCTGGTGCAGCACGTTGGGCGGTGCTTTGAACGACTCCAGCCAGCAGATATCCCCAAACGCCCTCAGACGCTCCAACTCCTCCCTCTCCGCCACTGCATCGTATGCCGCACCGCTGCCGCCCCTCTCCCCGCCCTCCTCCTCCTCTTCCTCCATCTCCTCCTCCCTCTCCTCTGCACCCGCCCCTCTGCTTTCCTCCTTAGCCTGTGTGCCAAACGACTCTCCGCCACTCCTCCTCACTGCATTACCCTCTGCTCCTGCTCCTTGCAGTCTCACCTCTCCAGCACTCCCGCCTGCCCCTCCCGCTTCCTCTCCCTCTCCCCTGCTTGACCCACACGCTTGCCTGCCCTTCCCCTCGTTGTCCTTTGAAACCCCCTCGCCATCCTTCTCCTCCTGCCCCCCTTCTCTCTCGAACCCACTCCTCCCCTTTCCACTCTCACCACCAGCGTCCCCTCCTCGCCGCGTCACCTCACCGCCCACCTCGACTGCCTTCCTCTGCGGTCCGCCCTCCGCGTCCCCTCGCTGCTTGCGCTTCCTGCTGCTGCCCTCTCCCGCGCGCGCCATGGGCCAGTTGGGCAGCACCACCACGCGATACGCCAGGCTTGACAGCTTGCGACTGGGGAGGAGGAGGGGAGAGGGGGAAGGGTGGAAGGGAGAATGAGGGCGGGGTGGGCGTGGAGAGGGGAGGTGAAGGTGGGGGGGCTGTGTGCGGCAGGGCGATGGGGCGCATGGGGGGAAGGAAAAGGCTATTCGAGGGAGCGAAGGGGTGAGGCAGATAAAGGGGATGGGGGGGCGGGGGGAAGGAGGGGAAGCGGGGGAAGCCGAGGGGGAGAGCAAGGGGAGGGGGTAGATGCACCTGTGGCCGCGTTGGAAGCGGGAGGTGAGGGTGACGAGGGGGAAGAGCACGTCGCCCGTCTCCTTGTCCTGCCATGGCATGGCGCAGCAAACGCGCGGTCAGACACGGGGAGTAAAGGAAACGAGAGCAAGAGTGGAAGCTGGCCGCACGTGCATGATAGTGCGCAAAGACACCCGCGCGCGCGTGCGTATGGTGGGGTGCGTGGCGCGCAATGTGGGGCGCGGGGGCACGCGCGCACGGGCGCAGCGGGGCGCGCGGAGCGGGGGCAGCGCACCTCGAGCAGCAGGTGCCTGGCGTCCCCCCCGATGCCGTCCAGCCATATGAGCCCCAGGTCGCTGATCTGCGCGCGCACACGCGGGCCGCCATGCCATGGGGGGAAGGCGCGGGGACATGGATCGGAACGGGTTGGTGGAAGGATGGTCGGCAAAGGCAATTGTCAAGCGCCACGACTACCGCCCGCCTACCCCCCTCCCCTCCCGTTCCGCACCCTGTCTCATCCCTTCCGCCACTTCCTGCGCTCACCTGCGGCGTGCGGATCTGCCAGCAGAAGGGCATGGGCTGCGCCATGGGCGCACGCACGCGCGGAAGAACCTCTGCGAGCGGCCTACTGCGGAGATGGCGGCGGCGGGAGGGCGACGCGAGAATAGTAGGGGGGAATGTATGTAGAGACCGGGGACGCGAGTGGCTGGGACGAGAGGATTAGCGCAAGGGAAGGAGGGCAGGGGAGGGAATGGAGCGGCGAGGAGGGCGGAATTGCGGGGGAAGGGGACGGGGCAGTGAGAGCCACAGGCGCGCGCGGGGCGGCAGTAGCTGCGGGAAGGGGTGAGCGGGGTGGGGCGGGCGTGGTGCGCGCGCGAGGTTGCGGTTCCCCGTCACTCGTTGCGGCGCAGCTGTCAAGACGAACGCGGAAGAGCCGTTTTCGGGTTGTGGCACGGAATTGATCGCACTGATACTGATGTTTCAGGTTGTGCTACTGATGACTCTCTCACACTCTCTACCCAATTGGGAACACATTCTTTTGCATGCTCTTTTTCCCATTCCCCTTGAACCGCAACCAATGCCACAACACCCACTTTCTGCAGTTCACCACCCCACACACCCACCCCTGCTGCCCAGCACCGCAGCGACCGCGCTTCTCGAGACGTGCTCTGATTCCACGTGCGCATTCCCATCAATTCGCCGCTGCCAGTCGTCGCTGCGGCGCGACGGCGATCAGCGGGCAGCAAGCAGTTCGCAACGCCTCGCACACGCCCCCGCGCTTTCGCGTCGGCTCCCGCCGTGCGGTGCGCGAGAGGAGCGTGCGCGCATCGCCACCCATGCACGGCGTGCCGGCGGTGGTGACGTCGTCGCACGGCCACCGGCACGCCCCCTTCCTCGCCGCCGCGCGCCCCTCCCCCCGCTCGCTCGGCGCGCTGTGCCTGCTCGCTGTCGCCGCGCTCGCCCTCCTCGCCGCCGCCGTGCACTCGCCCCTCGCCCCCCGCCTCGCCGCACGTCGCGCGACAAGCCGGGGACGAGGTGCGATGGGGCAATGGCCGACAGCTTTGCAGCCGTCTCTTCTCTCCTCTCTCCTCTCTCTCCCCTCTTCTCCTTCTCTTTCTCACACTTCTCCATCTCTCTTCGCACTGTCTCTTTACCAACCTCGCTTTGCGTCCCATCCCTTCCCCATCGTGCTCTCACTACCTTTTTCCCCTTCCACGAGGTGCCGTCTATCTATCCCGTTCCTTGCCCACCCCCACCCCATGCGGCCATTCTTCCTGCCCAGGTACCACCTCCACTGCCGCAGCGCACAGCGTCGGCCCATTTGCCGATAAAACAGCCGACCGTTCAGCACCGGCAACATCACAGCCGTCCATCCTGCCTCTGCCCCTGGGTTCTCACCATGCGCGTGGAAGGCAGGTGGGCGATCCCACCTCCACTGACCCCACAAGCGATGCAGATGCAGGCAGTACGGCAAGCGCTGTGGTGGTGGCTACTGCCGGTGCTGCCACCACGGACGGCCAGTCAGTGCCACTGACAACAGCTGGTGCAGCCGCCAACGCATCAGCAGAAGCTGAGTCATCAACTGGCGCATCAGACACAGCAGAAGGTGCAGCATCACTCAGCTCTGATGGTTTCATTCATCAGTCACCCACCCAGCTCTGTTCCTTCCCACCCAAACTTCCCTTTCCCATCCCTCCCACTCATGTCCTCCATCGTCCCTCTCACCTTCCCCTCCCTCTCCCCTTCCCTGCAACACCGGCCAGCGTACGTAGCAGGGGTGCCGGAGCAGTGCAGCATGCAGCGCAGCACAGACTATGACGGGGACGCGCTCACATGGGGCCTGGACTTCCTCACGCCTCTGCTGCCGACTGCTGTGCGCGCTGCCGTGCCATGGCTGCCACTGCCGATGCCGCCGCACACCAGGGCGGGGAGGGCGGGCAGCAGCGGTGCAACATCTGGGTGTTCTGCCCTGAGCCCGGGGGGTGCTGGTCGCCTGACATATGGGACCACAAGCACAAGGAGTGCTGGCTCAAATATGTGAGGCTTATGGGTGCGGACTGGGTGCATGCTGGATTAGGCATGTGGTAGGGGAGTGTGGTTGGTGCTTCTGAGGAGAAGGGTAGATGTCCTGTGTGCATGCTAGGCCCTCAGTTCTTGTGATTATTTCGGTGTGTGTATGCTTATCTTGTCCAGGGAGACCCCCCCAAATTAAACTTCCAGGGTCGTTACGCTGACGAGTTTCGGGCCATGCATCCCACCGCACCTGAGGCCGTTCAGTGGGTGGCCGGCGTCATCTAAGCCTCCTCAATCTCTCCGTCCCGTGGCGTCACAGCAACCTCTTTCAGAACCATCCCGTGGTAGACTGGTCGAGATTGCTTTCATGCTCAAATTCTTTACGCTCTGAAGGAACTGCAACGGTGCCTGCCGCCAGTGATTCTTCCATGGACATCGGTTTGCCTCATATTAGGACGACGGCGAGACGGAATGGTAGTAGTTTTTCATGTATTTGGATATTACTAAAAGTAGTCATATACTTTAGATTGCTATCACCAACTGTCATGCATGACAAGCCGAGCGTACAACGGGGTTTTCTGCCCTCCAGAAAGTCAGCATTTCAGTTGGCGCGAAGCGCAGAGCTCAGGAGTCTGTTCCCGCCTCTGGGATTCCTGCACGGACCAATCGTGGCACGACCAGAATTACTGAGCTGCATTTTGAATTTCCTCTCAGCGAAATTGCAGAATTCTCAGTTCCCAAGAAAACGAGCCAGGCAAATGAGGTTTGCGCAGTGCAACACCAGCTATCGTGGGTGAATGTCGGATGCTTCAAAGCTAGTCTATTCTGCTTGGTGTTGCCCGAAGTTCAAACTCCGTAGATGCCATTGTGGAAAACATTCTGAGCTTCTCTTGCCGGCCAAGCGAAGCACGACTCCATGAGGTTCCGAGCCTTGAAAGCAGCTTGAGTCGCCGCCGTAGTCGATAGCTACTCCCAGCGTGTCCTGGATCCACACAACCACTGTGACAGCAACCTGTCGTGCTTCGGCCGGGAAGTAAAGAGAGTTAGGTTTCCGTTCGACTCCTCTGATAACCTGTCTCACCCTCAACGCTTTGCAAATTCAAATTCCCCAGGTAGAAACCTGTCGTACCTAGTAAATTTCTGTCGGATCAGTGCGCTGTGTTTCCATCCCAGCGTGTGGCGCTGGAGGTTCCAATCACGCGATGGCGCGTCAAGGAGAAGCGGGAAATGTTGTCACGCGGAGTGTCCATCCAAACGGCCGTCGTGACGCCGCTCAGCGGGTCCCCAGCGGCCGATCTACGCGTTTGGCTTCATCACAACATGTGCCTGCGGGTACACAGTCACCGGCGTTCGCCTTAGGACCTCCGCTCGCCAGCACGCTCAACGTGGACTGCCTTCCCGATGTTCTCAAGGCCTCGCAAAGCACTGGTCGCGCCCTCAACGATCACGTATGTGCACCTGTAAATCACCTCCCGCCTCATGGTTTCGTGTAGGCTTCAACTCAAGAGTCTTGACGTTTCTCATCCTATAATATATTCACGAGACGTCTTTATGGACTTCTTTTTGTGTGCTTCTGCCAATCTGCAGGGTGTAATTGACGCTGAGAACGGTCCAGGTCTTCTGGCTGCTCAGGGGAGGCACAAGGGCAAGAAGGAAGGCGCGACGACGCGCACGAGAGCCCTTCGGCCGCGCGCGCCGTCGAACGACGACAACATCCAGAAAGCGCAGGCCGGTGCGGGTGAGAAGGAGACGCAGGATGGTGTAACGGAAGTATGTGGTGAGGTCGGTGCGGGGTTCGAGGGCACGACGAAGATCGGACGCATCGTTCTTCCCGCACCCGCTGAGTCGCCAGATGACGTATGGCGTTTTTCGGGCACAAGTGAAGACAGTGTTCGAGAACTGGTGAAGCAAGGCCGTGCTGCCGAGGATGCTCCAACCGTCGTTGCCGCTGAGGGCCTTGTTGCTTCTGCCGCTGCTGCGGATGCTGCTTCTGCCGGAGTGGGGGTGCACCAGGGAAGCGGTTTAAACCAATCCCTGCCGATGGATGAACCAGGAGGTTATGGAACGCGGACTGGCGCCATGATCCATGCGGGAACGCCACTGAAGACGGATGCTGGCGGCCTTGAGGCGGTCGGCGAAGGGGCGGCGATGCAAGAGGAGTCAGAGGAACAGGAGCACCAGGAGGGGCATGGGGCGACGAAGAGGCGGAGGAAGAAGTCGTATTGGAGCCGCAAGAAGAGGGCACGCGGAGAGCGGAATGGAGTGGCGTCGTCTCAAACGTCTGGAGAGAGCGAGGGCAGCTCGGCGAGGGTGGGCGTGGCGCGGAATGTGCGGGAGAAGCGCGATGGCGTTGCGGAGGTTACGCAGTTCGATGACACCACGGCGGTGGGAGATGCCGATGGAGCGGTGGGAGATGCATATGGAGCGGTGGGAGATGCCGATGGAGCGGTAGGAGATGCCGATGGAGCGGTGGGAATGCAGGGGAACGAAGAGGTGGTGGAGCGAAAGCGAGGAGCAGCGTTTGGAAGTAGCGCCTGGGAAGACGTCCGCCAGGATGCAGTGACTGCGCGTGTCGAGGGGTCGCACGGTGAGACAGGCGTTGAACGCACTGCTGATGACGAAGGCGGCATGCAGAAAGACGACGTTGCCGTGCTGGCGGATGCCGGTGGGCGGGTGCCAGGTTCGCGCAAGAAACGCAGGACATTGGGTTACCGACCGTTCCTTGCTGTGAAGGTTGATGCGGGGAACGATGGCGAGGTGAAGCAGGGCGAACAGGCTATGGAAGTGCAGGGAGAGGGGGAGATAGTTAAGGGGATGGTTGAGGGGGGAGGAGAATTAGGACTGGGCAGCACGGATGTTAGAGCAGTGGATGCAGGTGCGGTACATGAGAGTCGAGGGCATAGACAAGGCACGGAGCAGGAGGAAGCGCGTGAGGGGACGGACGCGGAGGATACGAATGTGCAGGAATTGTGGGCCAGCATGGCTGGACTCGCGACAAGCGAGGCCTTGCCTGAGACTGCAGGAGAAATGCCGCTCAGTGACGGAAGTGCAGGCGAAGCTATCGGGGGATCGGCTCCTGAAGTGCAGGATAGTGACGGGTCAGGGTCATGGGGGCGACGTGAAACCAGGAGGCGGGCAACGCGGAAGGCGCCGACGCGCAGGGAGCGGAAGGGGATGGAGGGCGCGGGGCAGAGCGGTCAGAAGAGGAGGAGCCCGAGGCTGAGGTTGGGTGACGTCGTGCCTCCACCGCTGCCTTCGATTCCAGAGGAGGGAAGCGGAGAGAGGGATGGGTCTGCAGGGAGCGAACGCACACAAGGTAACGCAGGCGGGGCAGCAGGGGGAGAAGAGGATCGGACCGATACTGCAGCAGCAGAGACAATCGTTTTATCTCCTGATCTGGGTGGTGGCTACGGCAGGTACGGCGGTGAGCATGAAGAGGAGATAGGCGATGCGGGAGAAGGAGAGGGGCAGGGGGATGCGGTGGTAGGCGACACCGGGCTTCACGCGGACAGCCTTGCTGAAGCTCTTGCTGGAGGCGCGCTAGGTGAAGGTGGGGCAGGGGACTCACGCGATGGTGCTGGATCTCGAGTCGTTGGAGGGAAGAAGGGCAGGAAGAAGGGCAAGAAGGGCAAGAAGAAGGTTAAAGGGAGAAAGCCTTCACCTGCTGTGACTGCTGCTGTCGCCGATGCCGGTGCCGGCAGTGTTGCTGGCGATGCGGATGAAGCACGTGGCGAGGGCGCAGAGGGAGATGGCGTAGAGCTGGTGGTGGAGGAGGATGACGACGTGCAGGAGGTGAAGGGGTTTGCCGTGGCGGAGGAGGAGGTCTCAGATGGGGAAGACGATGCAGCAGCAGCAGCCGGAGTAGCAGCATCAGGAACAGCAGGAGTAGCAGCAGCAGGAGCAACAGCTACAGGAGTGGACGCAGCGGAAGCAGCAGCGGAGGAAGCAGCAGCGGCGGAAGCAGCAGCGGCGGAAGCAGCGGCGGCGGAAGGAGCACCAGCGGGAACAGCAGCAGCAGGAACAGCAACAGGAGCAGCAACAGGAGCAGCAGCAGCAGCAGCAGCGGCGGCAGCTGCGGCAGCGGCAGATGCAGTAGCATCAGCCGCCGAAGCAAGGGCAAGCCTGAGTGGATGGGGAGTAGAGGGTACAGGATGTGAGGCGTGTGAATTATTCAAGCAGGTCGTCCAAGTGCTGAGTTCCTTGCGCACTTGCCAGCCCCATTCCCTGCTCACCACCACCTTACGGCTCTTTCATTGTGCGGCTCTTCGACTCCCTCATTTTCCACGGCGCATTGCACGAGGGCGCTCACCGTTTGTCGTGCGTGGCTGTGCTGTAACCTGTGTGTGTGCGTGCAGTTGGAGCAGCAGAACAGGGAGCTGGAGGAGAGGAACCAACAGCTGGAGGTAGGTCCCATGCTCACTCGCACCACTGCTCTTCCATGCGTGCCCCATGCCACCGCTGCTTGCTTGGACCCTTGTTCTTCCATGCGTGAACCATGCCCCTGCAACGCTCCTAGCTTGCCACCATCTGCTGCTATCATTGCTGCTGCTGCGGTCATTAGATGTGCTGTCATTTCAGGTGCACGGTGCACCGCAGTCATTCCGCGCCATTCTGCTGTCCCAAAGCGCCGTGTGACTCATGCCATGTCTTTGTTCCCCATTCCATGCCGCTACCCCTATGCTGTGTTGCGTGGCACAGAACGACCAGATGGAGGAGATAGACAGCGCCATTCAGGAAGTGCACGAGCGCTCGCTGCGCCACGCCCGATGTGAGCAATCCCCTGCCTTGCTGCCGCGCCCTGTGGCCTGCGTAAGGCCTCGTCTTTTCCTGCTCACATGTGCCATGTACTGTATGCCATGGGCCATGGGCCATGTGCCATGGGCCATGTGCCATGCACACGCATCCCAGACGCCACCCTCATCCCACTACCTATCTTCTTCCCCCTCTCTCTAAATTTCTCGCATCCTAATACCCCTTGTTTCCAAACTCTTGTCTCCATCCGTGCCCCCACCCCACCACCCGCGCTCCCCCTCTCTTCCCTCTCCCCTTCTCCCCCGTTCAGCGTGTAAGGCACTGTTGGCGGAGGCGCAGAGGGAGAACGCGGAGATGAGGCGCGAGTACATAGAGCGCCTGGACCTGGACGACATGCACCGCACCATGCAGTCAGTGCCTGCTCGCCCCCCGCTCACTCACCGCCCCCTCGCTCACTCGCCTCTCTTGTCGCTCAATGCATGCTGCACGTCTCTCAAGGCAGCACCCACCCGTCGGTTTAGCTCCTCTCATTCCCCTTTTCTTTCCGTTCCTGTGGCTTGTGGCCTCCGTTCCATCTCTGCTCCGCCACCGCCACTGAATCCCCTCTCCCACGCCCCTCCCCGTTCCACCCCTTCCAGGAGGCTGCTGGCGGATCTGAATCGCAGCAATGCCGCCATGCACCACTACCGCAGCATCTCCCTGCAGTACTGCGCGCTCTGTGAGTCATGGGCGGCAGTGGCTGCGCGTGTATGAATGGGCAGGTGGGCAATTCAGTGATTGAGACGATTGGAACAAGGGAGAGGAAAATGGCCTACTTGTATGTTTGCTTGCTGTCTTGTGCCTGTCTTTATGCGCATGCACGCATTCTCTCTGGTCGTGTGTCTATCACATGCGCAATCCATGCCTCCATCCATCCATCCATCCATCCATCCTCCGTCCGTCCGTCCATCCGTCCACCCACCCACTCAACCCACCCATCCACTCATTGACCTTTCGATGATTGCAGATGGAGAGTTACCGGGGGGCGATGGAGAGAGTGATGAGGAGGAGGCGGATGGGGAGGAGGAGGAGGAGGATGGGGAGGAGGAGGAGGATGGAGAGGGGAAGGAGAAGGAAGGAGACAACGAGGAAGGGCGTAATCTGGAGATTCGTGAAGAGGGAAGTAAGGAGCGTGGTAGGAAAGAGGGAGCAGATGAAGAACGACAGCCACAAGATTCAAAGGAGAATAAGGAGAGCGAGGAGGCTCATGAGGCAGAGGCAGAGGCAGAGCGAGAGGACGATGAGGAGGAAGCGGAAGGTGGAGGAGGCATGGCGAGTGCGTGGAAGGGCTTGTGTGAAACGGCTCCTGGGCTTGCTGCAGCGCTGGAGTGGGTGCATGATGCCGGCAGTGAGCTCAGCCTGGCGATGCAGTGGGATGAGGGCTACGACATGCATAGCTGGGTGCTCTGCCACAAGCCCTCAGGTGCGCTCTCCCTGCGCCTGCAGCACTTTGTCTAGAGCAACCACAGCACAAGTGGTGGCACGGTGACCCAAACGTATTCACCACTATGCACTCTTGTCGTATGCGACCACCCCCATCCTTTGCCTGTAGCCAATCCTGTCCCGTATGTGCACTGCCCTCGCCATGTGAGCAGGGTTTGAGATGGTGTTTGGGCCAGCCCCTGATGCAGTCAACGAAGTGGGCCTGCCTCCCGCCTCTCCCTCCCCCATGGACCAGCGGCAGCCTCCCCCTCCTGCCGCTGCCGCTTCTGGCAGTGGTGGTGGTGATGGGGACAGCGAGGGCAGGTACGGCGAGGGAGCGGAGGAGCGGAAGGGGTTTGTGATGCGTGTGACGACCCTGGGGCGGGTGGATGAGAGCAGGGCACCCAGGTGGATGAGGGCGGCGGTGTCAGAGGATGAGGACGAGTACTGCATGTGCTGTGAGAGCAAGCTCATCCGCGACCTTAGGGCCCTGCGCAAGATCCTCCTCCAGTAACGCCCATGTGTCTGCCTGTACACCACTCTTGATGCTGTGGTTGTGCTGGGAGGAACTGCTATGATCAAGTATGTGTTACTCTTGATTTTAGTAGAGAGATGGTATGACAGTAGGGTCTGACCTTTCTCTGTTCACATACGGTAACACTGCACAGTTTCCAAGTCTGATATCCACTGAACATCTTACTGACGCGTTGTCTTTCATTTTCTGCTTCTGACCTAGATAGTTCGGGAAAGGTGATTCCCTTTGTTACATAATCGGTAGACTGAGGTCCTGCACAGACCTAACAGAGTTCACTGTTTGGTGTCACATTCTGATGGCTACCAACTACTTGTCAAATGTTTATATATTCTATATATTGTTAGATAGGCTACTGTGAGTTGCCCTCTAAAGGGTACAACACTTTAGGTCGACATTTGCATCTCCTTGTCCCTCCTTACTCAAACATTACTCTCGACACTTGTCTCCTAGCCTATCTTAAGATGGTATTAGAGTAGGTTTTTTACTCCCTCCCACGCTTCCGCTCCCTCCCTTAGCCGGTCCCGAGGCGCCCGTCCCTTAGGCCCCGTTTCGTCGCAGGTAGGACGGCCCCCGCGGGCCTCGTTTTCGTCGCGTTTAAGGGCCCCCGCGGGCCTCGTTTTCGTCGCGTTTAAGGGCCCCCGCGGGCCTCGTTTTTCGTCGCGTTTACAGGGCCCCACTGGCCCCTCGTTTCGTCGCGCTCCAGAAGGGACTCTCCCCCCCCCCCCCGCGGGCCCGCGTAGTCGTTCTTAGCCCGCAGCAGCGCGCGCGTTAGCCAGCGGCAGCCGCGCACGCCACTGCAGCACGCGCATTGCAGCAGCAGCGCGTGCTTTGCTGCAGCAGCACGGCTAGGCAGCAGCGCGTGCATTGCAGCAGCAGCACGGCTAGGCAGCAGCGCGTGCATTGCAGCAGCAGCACGGCTAGGCAGCAACGTGTGCATTGCAGCAGCAGCACGGCTAGGCAGCAGCGCGTGCTCCTGCAGCAGCAGCACGGCTAGGCAGAAGCTAGCCGCCAGCAGCAGCTAGCCACCGGAACCTAGCCGCCAGCAGCTGGCGCCAACTAGCCCCTCCCACCCGCCCACAGCCCCTTTCAACCGCTCACAGCCCCTTCCAACCGCTCACAGCCCCTTCCAACCGCTCACAGCCCGTTCCAACCGCTCACAGCCCCTTCCAACCGCTCACAGCCCCTTCCAACCGCTCAGAGCCCCTTCCAAACGCTCACATCCCCTTATCACGCGCGCACACCACCCAGGACCACCCGACCTCCGTTGGTTCGACACTCGCGTCACTCATACTCACAGTGTTTCGCACCGTCGCGGCTGGAGGCCGCTCCGCTTAGCTGTTTAGGCTAGTCCTGACGTTCGTTGTTAGCTAGGTCTCTCCTCGCTCCACCAGCCCCTCGAACGACCCTCTGGCTCCTCGATCGGCTCGTCAGCCCTGCCTCCTCCAGCCGTGTGCTCCTAGGTCAGCTAACTCCCAGCTCCGTTCGTTACTAGACTGGCGTTCCTAGCTCAGTTTTCCTCCGTGCTCCAGCAGTACCTCGCCTAGTCCCACCTGGCGCTCCTCGCTCCTAGCTCCGTTTGCTCCGTGCTCCAGCTGTTCCTAGCCTAGCGTCCAATATGGACTCCTCCCGCCGCCTTCGTTTCGATGCAGAGGGGCGCCCGATAGAGTTCGGCACCTGGCTCCGCCAGACTCAGCGCTATCTCACCAGTCAGCGCCAGGACGGCGCCACCCTGTACGCCCACGCGTCCGGCGCCCTCCAGGCACCACCGCGTCCCGAGCCCCTCCCTGCCGTGCCCCCCCCGACTCCGGAGGCACAGGCGGACTACGCTCGTCTCGTCTTGGCGCGGGACGTTTGGGACTCCCGTGACGCTGCGGCTGCACTCGCGCTGACCGAGCTCCTTCCACCGACTGAGGCCGCTCACTTCGACCTGGTAGAGACTGCGAAGGAGGTGTATGATGCTATTTCTGCACGCTATTCCACCCCTTCCTCTGCCTCCCTCAGCCGCATCCTCATGCCGTTCGTGTTTCCCGACCTCGGCTCTTTTGCGACTGTCTCTGACCTAGCCACACACTTGCGCTCCCTTGTCGCTAGCTACCGAGCAGCTTGCACTGAGGCTCAGCTTCTTGTTGCTCCTCCTCCTATTTGGCTCACAGTCCACTGGGTAGTCACTCGTCTCCCTGACCGCCTCTCCACTGCCCGTGACGCACTTCTCCAGCATCACCCCAGTGAGCTTACGATTGATCTTCTCGAGACCACTCTCGGGAAGATCGAGAGTAACCTCCTCTCTGTTGCCTCAGCCACTGACGCAGTTGCCCCTCGTTTGTTTGAGGGGTGTGCTGTCCCCCAGCTTCCTACCTTCACTGCTACACGTGCCTCTGCTGCTGTGTCGGTTTCTGAGGACACTGCAGCTGTTTCTGCCGCTGACAGGCAGAAACGGGGCAAGGGGGGCAAGAAAGGGGGGAAGGGGGGTGGCGGCGGTGGAGGAGGTGGCGGTGGTGGAGGCGGCCCTGGGGGCGGCAGTGGTGGCGGTGTTGCCCCAGGCAGAGGGAGCTCTGGAGGAGGTGCTGACCCACCTGCTGGAGGAGGTTCGACCAGCGGTGGTGCGGGGCCCCAGCAGCAGCAGCCACAGCAGCAGCAGCCACGGCAGAGACAGCAGCTGCACCAGGGACAGCAGCAGTGGCAGGCACCACAGCAGTTTCAGACGTGGGGACCCCCACTGCAGTGGGGTCCGCAGCAGCACTGGGGCCCTCCGCCACAGTGGGGACCTGGAGGACCCGGGAGCACTGGCCGCAGCAGCAGCACTACCAGCTGGGCCCCTCGCCCCCCGCGGCGCGACACCGGCCCCTGCGACCACTGGTGCGTCACCGGACCTGGCAGTCCCTGTGTCTGCGGCCGCGACGACCACTCTGCAGCGCGGTGCTTCCGCCGCCTCGACGACCTCTACCGTGCACGCTGGGGTCCTGAGGCGACCACCCCGCGCTGGGCTCGCCTGCTAGCCCGTAAGATTCCTGTATTTGAACTGTCTATGGACGATGCTCGTCAGTATGCTTTGTATGCTGATGTTGACTATAGTGCTGATGGATTTGTGTGCTCGCGTGTTCGTAGTCTAGGATGCTTGCCTCCTGTTAGTGTAGACCTGTGCCTCTCTAGTCTAGGTGCTTGTGTTTCTGCTCTAGGTGCTTGTGTAGCCTCCGGACCTGACACGCCTCCGGCTGAGGCGTCTCTGTCGTTCACGCTGGACTCTGGCGCGTCGCAGTGTTTCTTCCGCGACCACACGACCCTCACACCACTTCTTGCTCCGGTTCCGGTAGCTTTGGCTGATCCTTCTTCAGGACCAGCCGTTGCGCGCAGCTCCACCACCCTCCCGTGCCCTGTGGTCCCCTCTGGTGTCTTGCGCGGCCTCCACATCCCCTCGTTCACTCGGAACTTGGTGGGTGTTGGATACCTCCAGGACAGGGGGATCACCGTTACCTTTGTGGGGGGGGGGCGGACTGCAGTCTGTACTGACGCTACCACAGGTGCTGTTCTGGCCACGTTCACCAGGGAGCCCCGCTCCGGTCTCTACGTTCTCCACACCGAGCGCTCCCCGGTCGCGTCCTCCCCTCAGGTTGTTGCGTCCCCTCCGGCTCAGGTCCCCAGTCCAGTTGCTGTGTCTAGCCAGGTAGTCGTGTCCAGTCCGGTCGCTGTGTCCAGTCCAGTCGCTGCGTCTTGCTCCTGTCGCTCTCTCGCCCACCGCACCGTCCTGTGGCACCACCGTCTTGGCCACCCGTCGATCCCTCGCCTTCGTGGCATGCTCAGTCAGGGACTAGTCACAGGTCTCCCACGCACCTTCCCGTCGCTCCCTCTCTCGCTTGCCCCTCCTTGCTCTCCGTGCGTCGCCGGTCGCTTACGCGCCACTCCCCACTCCTCCTCCCTTCGTCCGGCCACCGCTCCCTTCGAGACTCTCCACTTGGACGTCTGGGGCCCTGCCCCGACGCAGGGGTCTGGGAGGGAGCGTTACTTTCTGGTGGTCGTCGACGACTTCTCCAGGTACACCACAGTGTTCCCTCTTGCGAAGAAGTCCGAGGTGACTGCTACGCTGATCAGGTGGCTTCTAGCCACTGAGGGCACTCGTGGTCGTCGAGTCAGTTGTCTTCACTCCGACCGTGGGGGCGAGTTTCGCTCCGGCATTCTCGGCGGATTCTGCGGCGAACAGGGCATCACCCAGTCCTGGACGCTGCCAGAGTCCCCACAGCAGAATGGGGTTGCTCAGCGCCGCATAGGCTTGGTCATGGACATCGCCCGCACGTCCATGATTCATGCCCGTGCGCCCCATTTTCTGTGGCCCCACGCGGTTCGCTACGCCGCACACCAGCTGAACCTCCAGCCGCGTGTCTCGCGGCCCGAGGCTTCACCGACCAGTCTTTGGACTGGATCCCCTGGTGTTGGGTCGGCCTTTCGAGTCTGGGGCTGCCTTGCACTTGTTCGCGACACCTCCGCGGACAAGCTCTCGGCACGCGCCGTCCCATGTGTCTTCCTTGGTTTCCCAGTGGACTCTGCTGACTGGTCCTTTTACCACCCTCCCCTCCACCAGTTCCTAGACTCCCGTGACGTCCGGTTTGACGAGTCCGTGTCCTACTACACCCGGTACCCCTGTCGAGGTCTCCCGGTACCCCCTCCCCCTCTCTTCCTCGCACCCTCTCCTCCTCCTGCTCCCGCTCCTCCGGTACCCCCGCCCCCCCCAGGTCCTGCCCTGTCTGGTGTGTCCCACGCTACCCCTCTACCCTCGGTCGCGCGTCAGGTAGCGTCTCCCTCCCCGCAGTCCTCCTCACAGTCCCCTCAGCAGCCTTCGGCACTTCCGCGACAGGTTACTTTGGACTCGGTTGGTGTTGGAGCTGGAGGTGCAGCCGCTGGCGGTGCTCGGTCTGGGGGTGCTCGGTCGTGGGGTACTGGAGCTGGAGGTGCTGGCGCACGTGACGCTAGCTCTGGGGGTGCTGGAG